ACAGGACAATTGACCTACTGTATGCTAATGTGAGAGATGCATACAGAGCCACCCCCCTCCCCCCACTAGGGAAGTCAGACCACAACCTGGTTTACCTACAGCCACAATACACACCCCTCGTCCAAAGGCAGCCTGTCACAACGCGCTCCATCCGGAGATGGACCCCAGAAAAGGAGGATGCTCTGAGGGACTGTTATGACACCACAGACTGGGATGTGCTCCTGAGCCCACATGGTGAGGACATAGAGGGGGCGACACACTGTCTTACAGACTACCTCAACTTTTGTGTGGACACGGTCGCCCCTGCTAAGACGGTACGGTGTTATCCTAATAACAAACCGTGGGTAACACAGGAAGTCAAAGCTGTCCTCAACATGAAGAAGAAGGCTTTCAGGAGCAAAGTGAAGGAGGAGAAGAAAGCAGCACAGCGGGAGGTGAAACGCTGCCTGAGGGAAGCAAAGGACACCTACAGGAGGAAGGTGGAACAGAAGTTGGAGAGGAACAATATGAGGGAGGTCTGGAATGGTGTGAAAACCATCACAGGCCACAACACCAAGAAAAGCACAGTGGGGGGGGACTGTGGAGAAGGCAAACGAACTCAACAACTTCTTCAACAGGTTTGACCAGCCCACAACCCCCCCACCCTCACCTTCACTACAGAGTCCAATCCCCACTCTCCTACCTCCCTCGCTTCCCCCCCCCTTCCTGACACCATGACACCCCCCTCCTCCAATCCCTCTCTCAGCAGCAAGACATCTCCCCCCCTCCCCTCCTCCCAAACATCTCCCAGTGTCACAGTGGATCAGGTCAGGAGACAACTGAGGAAGCTTCGCCCCAGAAAGGCAGCAGGCCCAGACAAGGTGTGTCCTAGGATGCTAAAGGCGTGTGCTGCTGAACTTGGGGAGCCGCTACAACGAGTCTTCAACCTCAGTCTGCGACTGGGGAGAGTGCCCGCCCTATGGAAGACATCCTGCATCGTCCTGGTCCCCAAAAAGAACCGGCCCAATGAGCTGAATGACTTCCGACCGGTGGCACTGACGTCACATCTTATGAAGACTCTAGAGTGGCTCTTCCTCAACCTCCTCCGACCACAGGTACAACATGCCCAGGACCCACTACAGTTTGCATACAAGGCGGGTGTCGGAGTGGAGGATGCCATCCTGTACCTCCTACACAGAGCCCACTCACACCTGGATGGGGGAAAAGGCACGGTCAGGATCCTGTTTCTTGACTTTTCCAGTGCCTTTAATACCATCCGGCCCTGTATGCTTCAGGAAAAACTGAACAGGATGGAGGTGGACCCCTGCCTGGTCGCTTGGATCTCCGACTACCTCACCGACAGACCACAGTACGTCAGGCTGAAGGACATCACGTCTGACACAGTGGTCAGCAGCACAGGAGCACCACAGGGAACTGTGCTGTCCCCTCTTCTCTTCACCCTGTACACCTCTGACTTCTGCTACAACTCTGAATTATGCCACATTCAGAAGTTTGCAGACGACACAGCCATCATGGGGTGTATCTGGGATGATCAGGAAGAGGAGTACAGAAGTCTGGTGAGGAACTTTGTCACATGGAGTCACACAAACCACCTGCAACTCAACACCTCAAAGACTAAGGAACTGGTTGTGGACTTCGGGAGGTCTAGAGCAGGTCCACTGCTGGTTCAGATAGAGGGGGAGGAGGTGGTCAACAAGTACAAGTACCTCGGGCTGTGGGTGGACAATAAACTGGACTGGTCATGCAACACAGAGCACCTGTATAAAAAAGCACAAAGCCGACTGTACTTCCTCAGGAGGCTGAGGTCTTTTAACATCTGCAGGAAGCTCCTGAGGATGTTTTACCAGTCGGTGGTTGCTGGAGTACTTTTCTATGCTGTTGTGTGCTGGGGGAGCAGCACAGCAAAGAAGGACTCATCCAGGCTGGAGAAACTGATCAGGAGGGCTAGCTCTGTGGTCAGCATGAAGCTGGACACTCTGGTGACAGTGGCAGAGAAAAGGACATTAAAGAAACTGATGGACATTATGGACAATGCCAGGCATCCTCTGCACACGGCCATTAACAACCAGAAGAGTCTGTTCAGTGACAGGTTGCTTCTCCCAAAGACAAGAACTAACAGACTTAAAAACTCCTTTGTCCCACACGCCATCAAACTGTTTAACTCCTCTCTGGAGGGGAGAGGGAGGGGAAACAGGAGGACAAAGGAGGGGGGGAACAACTAAGCTGTAGTGCCTCTTCACCTCACTGTGCAATACCTTTTGTGCAATACTTTTGTAAATAGTCAACAGTGCAATAGACCTCAATACTTGAAATGTGCAATTCACTTGTATTCCTATTTATTCTATTTATCCCCTTCGTATATTTTATTTATATTGTCTCTGTATTTATATATATGTGTGTGTGTGTGTATATATATATATATAATATTCTGTAACTCTGTAACTTCTGTCGGTGCTGTGCTTTTTTGGAAATCGAATTTCCCAGAGGAACCCACCCGAGGGATTAATAAAGTTCTATCTTATCTTATCTTAAATGGCACTACAACATGTAAAAAAATAATATAAGCTCTGGCGGACTTGGTTCTATGGTAGGTCTTAAAGGGTTAAATAAATATCGTCAAATAATCGAGATCTCAATTTCAGTTAAAATAATCGTGATTATCATTTTTGCCATAATCGAGCAGCCCTACTTAAAACACACATATAATTCATATTTAGCCACTCTGATGTTTCTGATTGCGATTTTAGTTCAATTATTGTCATTATTAAGCCTGTTTTTGTTAGGTGATATAAGTGTGTAGTATGTGTGTATCATAAATGTGTTTTAGGCGCCATAAATGCTAGCATGAATATCTATTCCTTGCTAGCTTGGAAGTTGTGGTGGGTTGAGCTAACCCTCTTCCCCACTGTTTGTATTTGGTCGTAGGAGCTGGAGTGGGCAAATTATTTACTTGGAGGTCTTTCTTTCTTTTACCTTTTTTATCAGACACAACGCAAAGCCACACCGGTTACACAGCCTTTAGGGGTGGGGTGGGGTGTGGGGGGGATTTTCAATCCATAGCCATAATTGACTAACTAACTATATATATATATAATGTTTAACCTGAGTAGCAAAAGACCGCAGGGGGTTGAAAACAATACCCCAGGAGTTAGCTGTGCTCGCGGACTCTTATCAAGCCTTGACCTCCCGGTCAGCTATTGCGCTGGTGGATAACAGAGCTCTCCGAAAACGTGGAAGCACTTTTGCAAATATCTGATATTTTGATAAATTAAGTAGATATTTGAGCATTAAACGGCTACATTCTCGGCTGAAAATATCTTAAAATGTTATTTTGTGACCCAGAAAGGGTAGTCTGGGGAAAAGGAGGATCGCATTTGTCGGCCACGGTTGTCGGAGCCTGTGCGTACTTGTAAGCGCGGCAATGGCGGAGGAGCGTGGCTAAAAAACTTATTACTTTTTCTGGGTCACAAAATAAACTTTTAAGATATTTTCAGGTGAGAATGTAGCTGTGTAAACTATTTCATACTATTTCACGTGATTCAGTTTATTTTGAAAAGTCTGATCAGTATCTTGAGCTTTATTGTGAAAGGTTTATGTGGAAAATAAACAAGCGGACACGTGATGGTTTTACCGTCGTTGTCGCTAATGACAACGCATAAAAACAGGCGCTTGTCCGTTAGTGTGGTTGTATTAAATATAAGAGAAAGAGAGAACTTTAAGAAATTAATATAGCCACTACAGTGACCATCAAAACGATGAAAAAATATTGCTGTAAACAGTTTATTTTGCAACACCACGAAACAAACGATAGCGTAAAATGAAACGATAAGACGTTTTTATATTGTCATCCGATATATATCGTTATATGAACAGCCCTACCTCAGAGATGTTTTTACTGGCAGACTTCAGCGGAAAGCCAGTATTATCATCTCACAACAGACTGCAGTCTGAGGAGTATGTCAGCTGTAGATTCCTTTGAGTGATTTATAGTAAATATTGGTGACAAAACTTGGGTTTGAAGGCCTGATTTACTCCGTGAATCATACATTTAATTTATCACTATCTATAGTCAAAAGTTTCAAAAAAGCCTTCATGTAACAGACAGTTTTTTGAAAAAGACAAACTCAAAAAGAATACAGTCCAGTTATGTCTTTATTATCTTTGGCTAGATCAAAGATGAAAGCTAGATCACTCTGACTTGAAAATCTGTAACTTATCACTCCTTGTCAAAATATTCCCCTCTGAACTGCAGTGGGTTCTATCTGAGAGGATGTCGCCATTTGTCCACTGCATGAACTACATCTCCTTGGATGATGTCCACATATAATATCCAAGCACAGCATGCACACAAACCTCTCCAGTTGTCCAGATACCAAACATAATATGAAGATTACTTGGGGTCGGAACACCCTACCCTGTCTTAATTCTATGGCTTTTAGTTTACTTGTATTGCTATGTATCACTTTTATTTTATTTATCTCTTTAGTTTCAAATAGTTGTACAGCACTTTGTTTGAAAGCGCTTTATAAATAAAGTTATTATTATTATTATTATTATTACATGCTTTTGAATAGGTGGGGCAGTATTTGAAAACTAAAATATGCCGGTTTGTACACATACACGAGAGACACAAGAGTTCTTCCTTACTGATGTTTACTGTGCTTCTCTTAACGTACACAGGTACACCGTAGAACTGGTGAATACAAATGTACAAGAAAATTATATTTCAGCATTAAAACATATTACAATATAAAATTCACAAAATATAAACAAACATACCACTTTGGCCTGCAAGTAGACAAACCGGTGTAATTGGAACTTAGGGCTTATTTCTTCTTTCTTAGCTTGACTTTTACACGGCTAGACCGTCACCATGCGCAGCTTCTCTGACCTTACTTCCTAAAACAGGAAGTGACCTCTGCCCTTACCTTATACTTACAGAATTAACTGGTTACTTTCCATGTATCAAATTAACTGTACACCAATCCAGTAGGCAAAAAAGGAAAATGTTAACATGCTCAACACAAAAATAAAACATACAAAATAAAATGCGTTAGTTACATTATCATTACAAGAGCTCCGCCTAGTGGTCAAATAATAACATTTCACCAACTGTTACATAAAATAAAGTGTCTTGTAGTGCTACTTTAGTTCATTTCTTTCTTTATGTGGAGGAGGATGGTCTCCTCTCTAGGTGCTGAAGTCAGCAGTGCGCTAGATGGCACCACCAGAGGCCTGAAGAGATAAAAGAAGTGGCAACACAAAAGGATGTTTTGACAAAGAGACGAGAGCAGAGCAAAGGAAGAATCTGGCCTAAAAGGTAAAGCAAGCACTGAATACAGCTGTAAACATATCTGTCAACTGTTTATTTCTTGAAAATGCAGAGCAATATGCTTTGTTTAGTTAAGCATTAGTTAAATGTGTTAAACAGTCAAATAAAAGTTCACTGTATTTACACTGCATGCATACGATTAGTGAGAAATAGTGAAGAAAGTAGGCTTTTAAATGACTTTAATAAACCTCATGTTCTGTTTTTATTAGGGCTGTCAAATGATTAAAATTTTTAATCAGATTAATCACAGCCTAAAAATTAATTAATCATGATTAATCGCAACTCGAAATATGACCAAAATGTGTGCAAACATACGGACAGATAGCGGATTTTTACACACTTGTTAGTGTTATTTAATGCTAAGACCACGCTGAGTGGCCTGCGTTCACTCAGCGTGGTCTGACGTAGGCTGGGTGTTGTGCTGGAAGCGAATTAATCACAGCCTAAAAATTGATTAATCGCAACTCGAAATATATGTGTATATGTGTATATATGCGTAAAAATCGGGACAGATAGTGGTTTTTAACACACTTGTTTGTTTTATTTATTATTAATTGTGAGTACAAGCAGTACAAGCAGAACAGGGCTTCAAATAATTGTGAGGGATTTTTACTGAATGTTTTCCACCCGTTTAAATCTAGCACATTGTTTTATCCATATACATCTTCAAGTTCACAGAACATAGGCCTAATTCAACAAGCAAAATAGAAAAAATCTCCAATCATCCTTTTGGGTAAGGTAGATTAGTGCAAAAAAATATGAACAACAGTGAAAAGTATTGTTTAAATCACATTCAACCATAGAACAAGCTCTAAACACACGGTCCTCTGGTCTACTCATCCTTCAGCCAGTTGCTGAGACAAACCAACTTGTCCACGTTCTCTGAGTGCAGAGCAGACCTCTTCTTGTTCACAATGTGCCCTGCTACAGAGAACAGCCTCTCACAGGGCACTGTGGAGGCAGGAGTGGCCAGGTATCTGCGAGCAAGGCGGGCCAGCTGGCTGTGGGCTCCTGCATGAGCTGCCCACCACTGTAAGGGCAGTGCAGGGCTCTGCTCTGTAGCGCTGTATGGCTCTGTCCTGCTGTACCTCCTCCTCTGACTCAGAGTCAGAGTCCATCTGCAGCAGGCTCAGCCTCTTCTTGGCTGGACCTTCTTCTGCAGTGTGTGATCTTCTAGGCGAGTCTTCATGCAGCATGCCTGCCAGTGTGGTCCACACTGCTTCTCTGTCAGTCTTGGGCACACTGCGTAGGTCTTTAAAACGTGGGTCCAGTGCAGTTGCGATCTGGAGCCATGCATAGTTGGTATGTTCCTGGCGGGAAGCAAGGTCTTCCTTAAACTTCTCTTTAAACCTCACCACATATGCAGGGTCCTCATCAGTTACTTCCATGACACGGCGCAGGTGGCAGAAGGCTGGTAGAACTACAGAGCAGGAGACGTAGGCCTCTCCTCCCAGCAGTTCAGTCACATATCTGCAGTGGAATACACACACACACACACACACACACACACACACACACACACACACACACACACACACACACACACACACACAGATAAGACAGCAAATTAAAAAAAGCTTTTTAATACTAGGTAATATTAATAAAATATTTGATTTCATTTATTTTTTAAATAAGACATTTTCATAATAACAAAACTGATTTAAGATGTATGTTTGATACATTTAATCTAAACCTACAATTATGGTCACAATGACAGGCTCACCTGCAGGGCTCTAGAAGTGTCTCCAGTCTCTGGAGTTTGTCCCACTCTGGAGGCGTCAGGAGGACAAGTTTATGCTTTTGTTTATCCAGAGTCGCGGTTACTGCAGTTTGGTTGCGGATCAAGCGCTTCACCATCTCCAGCGTGGAGTTCCAGCGCGTAGGCACGTCCTGGGCCAACGGCTCCTGCTTGCGCCCCAGTGACACCTGCTCTGCGTTCAGCTCTGCTGTGTTTGCTGGGCTGTGCTTAAAATGGCCAACAATTTTGCGGCATTTGGCCAGCGCAGTGACAAAGCCACTGTCTGCGAGACTCACTGTGACAAAGCCACTGTCTGCGAGACTCACTGTGACAAAGCCACTGTCTGCGAGACTCACTGTGATGCATCTCTGTAGAATGTGCGCGGTACACGGCATGTGATTGAATGGCATGATGCGAGCCGCGGTGATCATATTGCGCGCACTGTCCGTGCCTACTGTTGTCACCTTCTCCTCAATTCTCCACCTGCGAGCAACAGTCTGGAACTGCTCTGCACAAGCCTCCGCAAAGTGCCGCTCTTCCGTTTTCATTATAGTCAGCGCAAAGGATGTCAGACCCCAGGCTTCAGTGATTAAATGCGCATTAACTCCCAGGTAATTGTCATTAGTCAATGATGTCCAGTGGTCTCCTGTCAGAGCCACGCATTCTGTGTGAACTAGAGCCTCTTCTTTTTTCTTTTTCTCCGTTTCATACAGTTCGTGGATTCGAATTGTTATTGTGCTTCTCGCTGGGGGCTTGTAGGACGCGTCCTGAGATGCAACCTTTAAAACATCTGCAAAGCCCTTGTCCTCCACAATGCTTAGCGGTCTACAGTCCTTTGCTATCTATTTGGCTATATTGTCGGTCAGTTTGTCCAAAGAAGACTTACCGAGTGGCCTGCGTTCACTAAGAGTGGTCTGACGCAGGCCGGGTGAAGCTGCTGCCCCGACAAACGCGTGTTTGGCATTAAGGTGGTATTTTAAGGTCGAATTTGAACGGTGAAATTGAAACTCTTTACTACAGTGAGTGCAAATTACAACGCGTTTGTTTATTGTCCCATCTATGTTCTTCTTGTATTTAAATTCCCCATCCAGAAGGCCATCCTGTTCCTGCTTCTCCATTTTCAGTGGCGCGGTAAACAAATCAAGTGGAATTATGGGAGCGACTTATCTGCGTGTTGCGCTAAATAGTTAAATATTCTAACGTAATTAATTCCAAAATTTAATTATCGCAATTAACACGTTAATTTCGACAGCTATAGTTTTTATCCTAAATTAACTCCTAAAATTAATTTTACTAAAACATCACCTTGTTCCATCTTGACTTCTTTTCTTGAACATTTTCACATAGCCAAACTCTCATAATCTATCATTACTCTTCTTCGCTTCTTGTATTTGAAATGACAGTGGAAAAAAGTAGGAATGCTACAATAAGGGAGTAACAAGTCAGGCTTTTACAGGAAAAACAAATACTTATACTGTAAGTACTGCATAATTTCTTGTGTAAATGCTCTGTACTTTTTGAGATGTGGGCTGTATTATGTATCAACCTTCCTTAACTTGCTGGTATTTTGCAGAAAATGAGACCCTTGTTTTGAAGGTTATGTTTGAACAGTGATTGTAAAAAACATCGAGTTAAATTAGACTTGGCTCCATCATTATAAGGTGATGTAACCCAGCAAATTTACATGGTATTTATTTTTTCTTAAAAGTTGGTAAGGGAAAGGCAAGGCTTGCAAAATTTCAAAATCCCTGGTAGCCCTTCGGGCAGGGACTCTTCAGTTTTTGGTAGCCCAAAATAAATTTAAGTAGCCGGAATAAAAAAGAGCAATTTTTTGATTGATGTTTTGTTTCCTGCTTTGTTTCCTTTACAATATTATACATTAAAGTATAATATTGTAAAGGAAACAAAACAATCAAAAAATTGTTGAAACACAAATTACAACATTGTATAAAAATTACAATCATCAACTCAAATACTTGGTTCTAATTGAACAGAAATTTCTATGAACTTATAAGAACTGTTGTCAGTGATTTACAGTTAACAAACAGTCAGGTGAATAATCAACACTGAGACACTTGTGTAGGTTAACGTGCTGCACGGGTGAAAAGCTCAGAGCGAATCACACCGAACTGCAGTATTCGTTTATTTTTATAGGTTACGTCGTCAATATGCAAATATAATCACATTTCCTGTTACGCAGATTCTGATGCTGTCTGTGTATGTGTGTGTGTGTGTGTGTGTCACAAAGTATGTGTGTTGCAAGTCAATTTCTAAGAATAATATACTGCAAGTCAACTTCTGCGGATATGTATTTCTGTACTGGTCTCTTGTCAGTGTCACAGGGTCAGCTTCCTGTTTCAACAGAAAACTGTGTCTGGTGAAATATGTGTAACATAACTTTTGAAGCATAAGCAAGTAAAACAATAAAAACTCCCTAACAACTGTGTAGAACATGAATCAGTCTGTGTCAGATTCTGAATTTGAAATTTCCACTGAAGTCACGTGGAGGCAAGTGGAACCAAGATCGAGGCCATTTGCTTTTTGAAGTTTGCAAAGACTGCTAAATTTTGCCAGTGGTAGTTCACTCTTTGCAACATAGTGCGCTGTTCTAAACAGATTTTTCAGGTTTATTTTTAGTATGTTATTTGCAATTGGTGTTTGTTCTGGGAAAGATATTGCAGACTGAGCAATAATGCGTTTCTTGCATTTCTCATGGGTTCTAATGGGGGCCTTTCTTAAAATTACTGGTCCCAGTAAGAAAGGCGCTTGTCGACTCAGAAATCGAGGGAAAACCAACAACACACCTGGCAGAACATTATGTTATTTACATGAGTGCACATAAGTGGTCCGCATGTGCGCATTCGCTGTCAAAATAAAAGACGCGCACCAGATAAGAAGTTGCAACGCGCGTTTGTGTCCATATAAAAGTCACTGTTTTTGTCCGCTAGAGTGGGATTTTCACGACACATTCTGCACCACATCACTGTGCGCAGTGGCGTGTCTAGAAATTTTTTGTTGGGGGGGCCAGGTAGGGGCACAGATTTGGAGAAGGGTGGCAGATGTAATTGGCAGATAATGTTTAAAAAAAAATTCTACCAACCGTTAACCATAATTCAATAATCCTGTAAACCTAATAACTGAATGCGCTTTTAACTCTTATTAGAATGAGATTTTAACCACTACGGTGCAAAGTTTTTAGATACTGCGTTGATAAAGTACAAGAGATACAATCAGTGCTTTGTCAGTGTTTACTCAGCAGTCAAGGACAGCAATATTTGCATAGTATTTTTACTGACATATAGTTCACATATGTTTTGGGCAAAAACATTTTTAATATTAAAATATGAACATTTGTAACAAACAATTGACAAATTAGCCAGTTCCAATGTAAAACTTTATCTGCCTGTTAAAAAAAGAAGATAATCTTCTCACAAACTGGTGTTTGATTTTGAAACAGGAAAAAAGTAGAGAAACAACTGAAAAGACTAACATTTGAATAAAACCTGAAAGCAAGTAAATACTTTCTATGCTGGCTTATGGTCAACTTTGGTAATATTGATAAAGAACAACACTGGCTGATGATGAAATACAGTCAGCTGGCATGGTGACACTGCCAGTATTAACCTGCAGGGCTGGACTGGGACAGAAAATCGGGCATTTTGACTAGAGACCGGCCCACCAGGCATTAAAGCCATAAAGCCTTTGAATGAAAACAAATGCTGTTGTGACAGTGATGTACAGTCTTGTTGGTATATGTATGATTTCTATACATTTTACGTCAAATAAAAACTTTGGTTGTAAGATTTAGAGTTACCAGCTGTCAGCTGCTTAGAAAAGGATCCTGGTGTTATTTGTCTCTCAGAAACAGTTCATAACTTCCCTTCAACTCATTCATGTGAACTAAAAGGTAAACCTGTTTCTCCATCACCTGTTCAGCTCTGATGATTCAGTAAGGACATCTCCTGGTTTCATCTTCATGTTTCCCTCTCATCACATAACCAAACCGATATCATGACCAGCAGCTTTACAGCTGTGGCTCCAGCAAACATCAGCTGATACTAGAAATTAATATTAAATAAATTCTTACAACAGCTGATCAAGCTTAAACGTGCTGCTGTTGTTTAGAGCGACATCTGCTGGTTTCCTCTTTCTGGCGCAAAGTGGGCGATAAATAAACAAGAGAGAAAAGCCGATCAGCTGATCATTGATCAGTTTAATGATTGAAGTAGCAACAGGGGAGGCAGGGGGAGAGAATGAGAGAAGAAGAGGCAGCTGTGCAGCATAACGACAGAATAACTCCTTTGTGTCTTTTTTTCATTATAGCTAAAGTCCGGGACAAACTGCGTCTCTTCTCAGCTCAATACGAAACGTGTAATATTTTCTCTGAATGAGGGACCATTCCATTTTTTAAGGAGCCGTTGGCAACTCTACTAACTAAACTTATGAATAAAATAAAGTTCACTATCAGTAACATCATAGCACCCACCCAGCTGTATAAAAACTCCGTCAAGCTGGCTAGAACGCAGCACGAGTTATTGCAACTGACGGTAAAAAGTCAGCACAACGAAAATAAACTCCACCTAAACTTGGTTTATATCTGACCCAGATAGACTGCAGGTCATAACTTCTTACCTGAAGTTCAGTTCACCTGACACTCGGACTGGCGGCTGCCTCGGGGCTCTCCTCCTGCCTCCCCTTCCCTCATCCACCTGCTGGCCTCTGTGGAAGCTCCGTCATAGCCACCACCAAACAACGGAGTTATTTTTACACATCGACCTGCATCTGGCCAATCCACCTCCTCTCATTGTTCATGCCATTACAAAAAAAAAATAAAAAATAAGTCACCAGGCATATGCCCGGTATGCCCGATGGCCAGTCCAGCTATGTTAACCTGCAACCAAATCTGCAGCTCCATACAGCAATGTTACGACTTAGATTATATCTTATAACTCATAACTCTTATGTTAGCTGCCCTCAGTAGCCTACTGTCTGAAATATTCGATGGCTGCAATAATTCTTTAAGTGTTATTTTTTCCTTGGTATTCTAATTTCACCGAAGTTTACTAAACTCAACAAACTTAATATTACTTACCGGGACATTTATTCTGTCCTCATTTTCTTTCACCGAAAAATTGTTTCCTGCTGTGCCGTCTTTCGTGCTTGGCTCTCCTACCTTTGCTAACGTGATGTAGCGCAGAAGCCAATGCTGCATTCACTTACACTCAGATATCTCAGCTTCACCGTGAAAACATAATCGGACATTTGATATTTGATTGAATTTTATTGTTTTGCCTTTGGGGTGGCACCTGGGGTGGCCAGTCTGGTTGGGGGGTGGCCTGTGCCCCCCCAGGCCACCCCGCTGGACACGCCACTGACTGTGCGTTCATCATTTGTTTGAAGCCAGCTCACCTCCTGCAACCTCTTTTCCGAGAATACGCGCTTCTTTTGTGGTTTGGACTCCTTCTGACATTTCTTTGGAGGTGGAGGAACACCAAAGTAATTACTTAAAGGAGCTTGCTTCTTCGACATCGTTAAGAGTTCTAAACAAATGTCTGTCCTCCTCCTGAAAATCTTATGCACACAAACACGCATTGCAACTTCTTATCTTGTGCGCGTTTTTTATTTTGACAGCGAATGCGCACCTGCGGACCACTTATGTGCAGCCCTGGTTATTTACACTGTAAAAAAAGTCAGTAAAATATACAGCAAAACACCGTCAAATTCCAACGGTAATGGAGCGTAAAACCAAAAACTTCCTTTTACTGTATTAAATAGATTGAATAACCGTTAATTGTGAGACTGGATAAAACTTTGTTTTTTACTGTAATAAAATGTTGAAATTATAAATATTTTCTGTGAAAACAAATAAATATGCATACATTTTACAATTACATATTGTAATGTTGAAAATGTCTGAAAAACTTAGATTTTACGGTATTATTTGAGTAAAACTACATCTTTTGGGGTTGTGCACATTGGAATTCACAGTATAAAGCTGTAGATTTTTAAGCAAACAAAAACATTCATTTTTACAGAAACAAGATGTTAAAAAATAGGGTCCACCGTAATAATACAACCAGTACATACCATTTTAAAAAAAGCAAATATCAGCAGTGAAAGACAATAAAACTGATAGTAT